TTATTATTATTATTTTTTTTTTTTTTTTTTTGGCAGTACGCGGGCCTTTCACTGTTGTGGCCTATCCTGTTGTGGAGCACAGGCTCCGGACGCACAGTCAGCGGCCATGGCTCACGGCCCAGCCGCTCCGCGGCATGTGGGATCTTCCCAGACGGGCATGTGGGATCTTCCTGGACCGAGGCACGAACCCGTGCCCCCTGCATCGGCAGGCGGACTCTCAACCACTGCGCTACCAGGGAAGCCCCCTCCATTCTACTTTTAATGCAAAAACCTGGGTGAACTTTTTAATACTGAAGTTAGATCACAAACAAAATGCCTGCAGTTATTCCCCATCTTATCCAGAGCAACAGCCAAAGTCCTTGTTTTGGTGCACAAGGCCCTGCATGATATGCCCCCGCTCCTCCATAACCTTTCTGAACTTACCTCCTTCTATCTTCCCCTCATTCTTTCCAAGGAATGTACCAGACCTATTCTTTTTTTTTTTAATTTTTTAGTTTAACTTTATTTTTTTATACAGCAGGTTCCTTTTAGTTATCCATCTTATGCATATTAGTGTATATATGTCAATCCCAATCTCCCAATTCATCATACCAGACCTGTTCTTGCCTTTGAACCTTTGTGTTGGCTATTTTCCCTTCCTGGAATGCTCTTCTTCCCTTAGATATCTACATACCTGACTCACTTCCTTCACACAAATGTCACTTCAATAAGGCCTACCTCAACCACGCTACTTAAAGTTGCCAACCACTCTCACCCTCTGATATTCCCATAATCCCCTTACCTTGTCCTTCTTCCTTTTTCCACAGTACTTACCACCTTCTAACACTGCCATACAGTTTACTTGTCGTGTTCGTTATCTATCGTCCATAGGTCTAATACTAGAACATAGGCTGCTTTGTTCACTGATGTACCCTAAGAACACAACTACTGCAAGGCATGTAAGTGTTTGCTAAATGAATGTACACATAATTGACTGTACTCCTAGCTGAGACTCCTGGCAGTGAGAATGAGCTCCCTAGCACCTCATCCCCTTCAGAGAATAACAAGGCCCCTAAGGACCTCTTCTGGGCTTTCCAGTTCCCTCCACTACCTGCCTTACCTCTGTCTCAGGGGTTAAGGGCACCCTCATGATCCGCTGGTTGACCTTCTGTAGGAAAGCATCAATCCGCTCTTTCTTCTTCTCTGACAGCCTCACTTCCTTCAGCAGCTCCTCTACCTGTAAGAAGTGGCAAGGGTGAGTAGTACTTCAGCCTCAGGGTCTCAGGCCCACCTCTCTAACCCAATCCCCAACCACCCAATGGTACCTGTAAACGAAGCAAGCTGGAATGGAACAGACTCTCAGTCTCCCGAAGGCGATTCAGCTCCTCATTGGTAGGCTCCTTGTACAGTTCTGCCCGGCTGAGCTTCACGGGCTGCAGGAGGCCCTCCACTTGAGAACCAGCCACTGAACGCTTCTTTGAGGATTCCTTCTTCCCCTCCTTGCCTGTGCCTTCCAGAGCTGACACCATCACCTGTGGCCAATGAGAGGGAGAACCCAGGGTGACATCACAGATATCTAGCGTCCACTGCCTGACGTGCCACCATGACAGGATGTGGGTAAAGGCTTTACCTGCTCCTGTTCTCTCTTGAACAGGAGTCAGATTGTGTAAAACTCAGAATAATTTTTACTTAAAGAACATTACTGAGCTCTATACTGAAAACTCCTTGAGTTGAGGGTTCCCCATCTACCTGATAGCACAAGTTGCTAGGGGTAGTAGCTGACTGGGCCATGCACCAAGCAATGCCTCAGGTCCTTGTAAGTACCAGGAGCTTCCTCTTCTGCTGGGTTAATCCTGGGACTTTGCAAATGCCATCTCCACTCTTGCTCTATCCAAATCCTGCCAGGTTACACACACACACACACACACACACACACACACACACACACCCTGCCCCAGCAAGCCCTGACTATAAACTATATAAGTATACATTAAGTGCTCAATGATGGAAGAGCCTACTGACTCTGAAAGACACACTCAGTGAAATCACCCAATCCTCACAATAATCCTAGCAGAAAACGGACACCCGAACGAAGCCCAGTGAGCTAGAGGTTCCAGTTGGTATGCCTAAACTGTGAGCAGGCTTCGAACCCTGGGCTGCAGGATCCCAAACCTTCTCCCCTACAGCCCTGGGCCCCGCCCCCCTCCACGATCCCACACCCTAGAGAGCCTTACTGTAGCGCTCCAGGAGCGCCACCACGTGGAGAGCGCAAAACTAGACACAAGAGGGATGAAGATCCCGTCCAATCTCCAGGAGGACTTCGTCAGGGAAAAGACCCAAGCCGCAGAAGGGGGTGGGGGTTTTTTGTTTCAAGGTGCAGAGCTAGCAAACAGAGAGAAGCTCGATTGTCTACTATTTCCATCCGGATAATGCCAAGTTCCATCTCCCTTAGCAAGCTCTGATTGTCTCGGTACCCTGGGCTGGAAGCATCAGGGGAAATGGGGCTCTTCCAGAAGGGACCGTTCTCGTGCCCTCGCTAGAGAACTGTTAGGTTCTGCCATCTCCGACACGTTGCGCATTCCTTCCTCCCAGATGGCTCACCCACCTCCGGCTCCCCGGCAGTTCCGCGATGCTGCGCTCCCTTATGTGCGGGGCCCATCCCTCCCGTACTGCTCCCGCACTTCGGGTTTAAAGTCCACTTGCTCTGCACAACTTCTTCCCACGTTGACAGAAATGCCCAAACCGCGGCAGATATGCAGCCCAGAGCGGCAGCTTTGCTGCGGAGAGCGGAAGCTAGCCTCGTGGCACAGGACTCCACCCAGTTCAAGAGCCATAGGGTGAGTGCCCGACGAGTCGCTCGTCATTGGTTTCTGTCACTCTCCGGGACCGCCCATTATGGGGGAGGGGCCAAATAGGGTTTTCCGATTTACGGCCTCCTTGCGACGCCAGGCCTGAAGCCTGCTCGTAACTTGGCGGTCGTTTCCTTTTTCTCACTTCCTCCGTTTGGGTCGAAAGGGGGAGGGCGGGGCTAGACTGGGCCCTCTGGGGAGGGTTTGTTTACTTAACTCCAGTGAGTCCTTTTCTTTTCTCATCTTATCAATTAACCAATCTCGTCAGTTCCACTTCCAAAGTATATCTTGAGTTTATTCACTGTACTCTGTATTTACTGCCGAGTTTGGTGCGCATCACATCATCTTGTGCCTAGAATAATGTAACAGCTTTTTTCCAGTTTATTACATTTTCCAAGTCTACTGAAACGTTGCTATAATATTATGATGAACGCCCATACACCCTTCACCTACCCATCATAACTTAGTGTTGATGTTTTACCAAATTTGTTTCGTCTTTATGGTTTTTTTTAGAAGCCTGAGTTTTATTTGTTTGTTTAATATTTATTTATTTGGCTGCATCGGGTCTTAGTTGTGGCAGGCGGGATCTTCCTTGCGGCATGTGGGATCTTTCTTTGTGGCGCGCAGGCTCTCTAGTTGTGGCATGCAGGCTCTAGAGCACACGGGCTCAGTAGCTGCATGGCACGTGGGCTTAGTTGCCCCGTGGCATGTGGGATCTTAGTTCCCTGACCAGGGGTCGAACCCGCGTCCCCTGCATTGAAAGGCAGATTCTTAACTACTGGACCACTGGGGAAGTCCCTGTGTATTTATGTTTTATTATTTTTCATAACCATTTGAGAATCAATGGTTCTTAAAAACCATGCCTAAGTACTTTGGCCTGTGTCTACCAAGAATAAGGACTATCTCTTATGTAGTCATAATTCAATTATAAAATTCGGGAAATTTAACCTTGATTCAATGCCATTATATAAAGTCCATTGTCAAATTTTGCAATTATCCCAATAACCTTACATAGTAGCATTTTATTTCCCAGTGCAAGATCAGGCATCTATTTAGTCATCATTTTTCTTTTCTCTCTCCTAATCTGGAACATTTTCTTAGCTCTCCCTTTTTTGTTTTTTGTGGGTTTTTTGTTGTTGTTGTGGGGTTTTTTTGTTTTTGTTTTTTGTTGTTGTTGTTGTTTTTGTGGTACACGAGCCTCTCACTGTTGTGGCCTCTCCCGTTGCGGAGCACAGGCTCTGGACGCACAGGTTCATGGCTCATGGGCCCAGCCACTCCGCGACATGTGGGATCTTCCCGGACCGGGGCACGGACCCGCGTCCCCTGCATTGGCAGGCAGACTCTCAACCACTGTGCCACCAGGGAAGCCCTGTTGTTGTTTTTTTGACAACAGTTTTGAGGAATATAGGACAGTTTCATTTAATAACTTTTTCTTTTAAGCTTTTTTATTGAAGTACAATACACATATAGAAAAATTCACATATCTCAAGGATACAGCGTGGATATTCACAAACCAAACATACACATGTAATCAGCTCCCAGAAAAAAAAAAAAAGCAGAACATTTCCTGCACCTTGCCAATCTCCCTTCATTCTGCCGTCTAGTCACTGCCCCCCAACAGTAACCACTATCCCAACTTCTAATAGCATAGGATATTTTATGCAATGGCTTTTAAAGGAATTTTCACAAAAGTGGTCTTGTCCTTCTTCAGTCCATTCCACACGGTTACCAGAATGAGTATTCTGCAACTAAAATCCTATCATGCCACTCTCCTTTCAAAAACTCATCAGTGGGGCTTTAAATGTCATAAATGGTAGGATTTCCTTCTTTATACCTGAAGAGTATTTTGATTGTTAAGGAAGGTTTCCTGGAGGAGATGGGGCTGGTGCTAAGTCTTGAAGCATGATTTGACTTTGAATTGATTGAGAGCAGAAAGCACCACTGTGGAAGTCGGAGGAAGACCAAAGGGGCCAGAGATTGGTCAACCATTCATTCCACACTGGATGATACTTAAGAAATGTCAGCCCTGTGCTGTGTCAAGGATAAAGATAAATAAGACATGATGATCACAAGCCAGAAATCTGGAATAATGCTCTTGCCTTCACATTTCACAGGCTAGTCCCTGCTCTTACATTTAAAAGTAACCTCAGCGAGGCTTCTTCTGACCCTGCCTCCATTTATTTATTTATTTATTTAATTTATTTTTTATTTTTTTGCAGTACGCGGGCCTCTCACTGTTGTGGCCTCTCCCGTTGTGGAGCACAGGCTCCAGACGCGCAGGCTCTGCGGCCACGGCTCACGGCTCACGGGCCCAGCTGCTCCGTGGCATGTGGGATCTTCCCGGATGGGGGCATGAACCCGTCCTGGGGCACGTCCTGGGGCACATCCGCCGCCTCGGCAGGTGGACTCTAAACCACTGCGCCACCAGGGAAACCCCCTGCCTCCATTTAAAATTGCATCCATGTCAACAGTTTCCATCTTAGCCCCCCCAATCACCTTCATTAGTACTCACCAAAACTTGCAATGTTATTTGTCTACTAATTTCTTGTTTTTGTCTGTTCCTGTCTCAACCACTAGAATGTCAGCTCCATGAGGGCAGGACCCAGTCATTTGTGTCTCATTCACTACTGTATCCTTGGCATTTAGCACAGGGCCTGTCATGTAGCAGGCCCTCAATAAATACTTGTTGAATGAATGAATGGCTCTTTCTCTTTTTTTTGCGGTACGCGGGCCTCTCACTGTTGTGGCCTCTCCCGCTGCAGAGCACAGGCTCCGGATGCGCAGGCTCAGCGGCCATGGCTCACGGGCCCAGCCCCTCTGCTGCATGTGGGATCTTCCCAGACTGGGGCATGAACCCGTGTCCCCTGCATCGGCAGGCGGACTCTCAACCACTGCGCCACCAGGGAAGCCCAAATGGCTCTTTCTTAAGAGCAACTCAGAGGCTGGGAGAAAAATGTAAACAAATAGTTGCAGTAGAGCACGGGGGGTGGTATGATATGTACAGATTGCTGTGGGCACATTAGACTAGGAACATTACAGCATGGTGGTTAAAAGCAGTCACACTAACATTACAGCATGGTGGATAAAAGCAGTCACACTAAAGTGGGATGGCCAAGGTTCAACTTCAGGTTCTGCCATTCACTCACTGGGTGACCTGAGTAACTTTCTTAACCTCCCTAAGATTTAGATATTCTAGTAATGACCAAGTCGAGGATTTTTGTGAGAATTAAATGAGATTTACCGCATGTGTAGAGCCTGTCACATACTGATGCATAACAAATGTTAGCTGTTGTTATCAAAGGAAGACTGGGGCTCCTTAAGAGCACTATTCAAAACTTACATGTATTAACATATGCAGAATTAAAAACAAAAACAAAAACAAAAACGGTGGACTCTTAAAAAAGTCATTCTAGGGAGTTCCCTGGTGCCCTAGTGGTTAGGATTCTGGGCTTTTGCTGCATGGCCCGGGTTCAATCCTGGTTGGGGAACTGAGATCCCGCAAGCTGAGCAGCATGGCCAAAAAAAAAGTCATTCTATAAGGTCAGAATTAACCTTTATAAAGCAAATAACCCTCCCTCTCAGTTATTTCACCAAGATTTCCACATCTTTTCTTTTTGGAAGAAAGGTAATAGATTCTTTATAGGAGCCCTGGTTGGAGAATACTAGGTGATGCCATACAGATTAGGGGGTGAAGGTCCTGTTTTCTTTGCCACCAGGGGGCACCAGTCAGTCAAGTCAATCTCTACCTGTCGTGAAACTGTAAGAAAGCTCTAGGAAGCTATCTCTGCCATTCATTCTTTGTGTTATAAGTACCCACTATGCACCAAACATTATAGTAGCTTGTATATGGTTATGAGAAAGATCTGCTGTCCTTCTGGAATTTATAATCTTGAGCATGTGTCTGAGAGACCCTATTAGACTCAGGGGGAGGGGTGGAGGGTGGGGTTCAATTTGTGATTTGTTGTTGTTACTGATTATCTTCCTGCCCTTGGCTGTGAGCCCATGAGAACAATTACGTAGTGTCTATTTTGTGTCAGACAGTGTGCTGGTTGCTGAGGATCCAGGGATGAATAAGACACAGTTGTAACCTACAAATAAACAATGTCTTACCCGCTGAGATAAAAAGCCATGAGACAAGTTCCATGGAATTTGAGTTCCTCTGACGTGAGTATGGAGTCTTAAGTACGCAACTCATTAACACACTAGGCTGTGAGCTTCCTAGATAGGTATATGTTTATTAGTCACCCATCTTAGGGTCATGGCATTGTGAATATTTAGTATGAGTTTGTGAGTTGATCTGAGTCCAGAGACAGGCTTCTGGTCTGGGTGCCAGGTGCACGTTCCAGTGACTTAGGCTAGGGATCTGCCATCTTCTGGGTCAGGGTGGGGCTATGATGAGTTTATGTGGGTGAAATGCTTTGAAGATGAACTTTCTGCCTATTTGTCTACTCACAGCCTTGCTATTAAAAGTGTCAACATCATCTCCCACGTTTCCAGGTCAGCAATCTCCCTAAATTGAATGGTGGAGGAGGGGAAGTCAGAACCAGTCAAACACCATCCTTTGGGGAGGAGGGGCTGAATTGACTAAAATATGCTCTAATTCCAGTGGAGTTTAGTCTCAAAACTGAGGGAATAGAGTTGGGAGGCTAAGGAATGATTCTTTAAAATACTGAGGCCGCATCTCTGAGAAAAAATAACAACAACAACAAAATGAAGGGACTCTTTCATTGTGGATTGTGCAGAGTGACTTCCTTCTAAAGAGTACGGTATAGAAAGGAGGTAAAAAGAGTAACTTTACAGTGGAGAAAAG